AAGGGCAAAAGACAAAGAATCTTAAAAGCAGCAAGAGAAAAAAAGTCAGTTACCTACAAGGGAGTACCCATACGATTGTCAGCTGATTTCTCAACAGAAACTATGCAGGCCAGAAGGGAGTGGCAAGAAATATTCAAAGTGATGGATAGCAAGAACCTACAACCAAGATTACTTCACCCAGCAAAGCTATCATTTAGAATTGAAGGTCAGATAAAGAGCTTCACAGATAAGGCAGAGGGTGGGGTGGGAACTGGGTGGAAGGGGAGCTATGGGGGGAAAAAGAGGAACAACTGTAATAATCTGAACAATAAAGAATTAATTTTAAAAAAAAGAATAAGAGTAATCCTATTAGAATTAGTTTGAATTTGAGGATAGTTAAAATGAAGGGCATTGTATTTAAAAAAACACACAACTCCATGTTTCCTTTTAGTCTTACTCGCTTAATAAAGGGAGGAGCCCATCAGAGTTAAATAATCTTCCCTCCGCCCTAACCGGTTTGGCTCAGTGGATAGAGTGTCGGACTTCGGACTCAAGGGTCCCAGGTTCGATTCTGGTCAAGGGCATGTACCTTGGCTGTGGGCAAATCCCCACTGGGGGGTGTGCAGGAGGCGGCCGATCTATGTTTCTCACTTGTCGATGTTTCTAACTCTGTATCCCTCTCCCTTCCTCTTTGTAAAAAATCAATAAAAATATATTTTTTAAAAAAATCTCCCCTCCTGTTGCCAATTTGCAGTGTTTTTAATACTTGCATCAATGAGTACTATTCAACTTCCTGAAGTAGCAAATTTTTTTTCCCTCTTTTGACTACTAAATTTATATGTTTTGAATTGGAATATTATTCCCTGAACAATATTTCTGTTTTCTCAGTGGAACAGTTAAAAATAGACCTTTTTCTAGGTAGGTTGTAATTTTAGTTTAGATAATGAACTATATGTATGGTATCTTCTTTTATACTTACAAATTCTTATCTGGTTGTTTCAACATTTATAACTGCTTTTTACCTAAGTGGTAATTGAAAAATACATAGTAAATTTGTGTTTTAAATAAACTACTCTGAATCTTGAACTGTTTTATTCAGTGATTTTTTTTTTTCCCCAACTTAGACCTTGTGTGGACAGTAATGACCTCACGTTTCCGTTTGCCTGCTGGCAGAACCTACAATGTACGAGCATCAGAGTTGGCCCGAGACAGACAGCATACAGAGGTGGATTGCAACATTTTTCTTTTGGATAACACTGTACAAGTTTTCAAAGTTAGTGTAAGTATTTTATATCGCTCTCTTTTAAAAATTATACCTCGTTATAATTAAAATTGGTTAATTATAGTAAAGGTTGAAACTCTTACTCAATGAAGAACAGTCATTGTAGTGCAGGTTTGTAACTATCAAGTACAATTTCTGATTCAAAGTAGGTCTTTAAAAAAGTTGACAAATCAGCAGTGCATTATGATTAATTAGTGGAGCAGATCAATAGTATGTGGGTAGTTTTTATAAATGTGCCTGAAAGGAATTTATTCTCCTAAATTACTTATACATTTTCATTTTAATCTTACTTGTACTGTCTGTGAATAAAACCTTTGCTAAACAGAGATAAATAATAGCCCTGATATTATCTGAGTCTTGTCTGGAATATTTATTCAACAAATAATTTGTTCATCTTATTTGTGTATAGTTTAATTTGTTCAACATTATTTGTGAGTTTCACCCCTGTGGTGTGTTAACAGTAGTTGGTCATTTTCATTGCTGTATTATAGTACTCGTTGTAATATGAATATACTGTAATTTACTTGTCCATTGATTTATTACCATTTACTTGTCAAATTTACTGTTGGTGTTTATTTGGATTGTTTCCACTTTGGTGTCTTATCAGTAATGTGCTGGTGAATATTCTTATGTATGTCTTTATAGATATGGGTGCAGTTTAAAATTTCAAGCCAAAAGAAAAGATGCAAGAGCATAATGAATACCCATATACCCTTTACCTAGATTAACCTATTCTTAACATTTTGTTGTACATTTCCTTTCCCTTTCTTTTTCTGTCTTTATTTTCTAAAAGTGGTTCATTTTGCCTGTAAGTATTTCAGCATCCTAAGAGCCTCATAAATTACCACAGTGTCATTATCATACCCCAAAATTTAACATTATGAAAATAATAGCAGTAGCCTGTGTGACAAGGAAGAATTGGGGGAAACTAGCCTGTTTCAGTTATTAACAGTGAAACAACTTGGGGTTGATGAATATTTAGTAGGCTGAATCTTCTCCTTTTTTCACTTGTTGAAGTACTTGTTAACCAAATCAAGAGTACAAATAGAATTATAAACAGGGGGTTACCTGGTGGATGCATATTGAGATGGGAAGCCAAAGGAGTATAAGGCTGATGGATTTAGCTAAATGAAAGTTAATTTACTTGGACTCATTCTACAGTCATATTTGTAAAGGAAGATAGAATTTGGGGGGATTTTTTTTCCTGGTTATTGTTCCATTGACTTTATTTCACATATGAGAAAATAGATTTAGAGTCATTAGGTTACTTGCCAAGTTAATGGCAGAGCCAGGACCATGTACGTTTGTGTTGTATATGCAAGATCTGTTAGGACCTCTTATTTTCAACACTTTACTGTTTTATCAAGGATTATTTAATAAGTATTACTTTAGTCCTACTTAAATTTGATGTGTTAATTCCTTTTAAAATATTATTATTTGTGGATGTCACTCAGGTTCACCCAGAAGTTTTTATTTGTACATTTATTGGTTTATTCATGTATACCATTTTAAAAACCAAATAGTTCTGTTGAGTGTTATAACAAAAACTAGCTGACTCTTACCCTGTTACTTCTTAGAAGTAACCACACTCAACACATTTAGTTTTTCTCTAATATTTGTTACCGTAAGTATAAGAAACATGCTTACATTATTTCTGGTTTTGTCTGCTTTGGTTATTCTTTTTGTTGTTCTTCATATTATGTATTGACGTTGGAGGATGAGAATTTAGATCTCTTATATACCTCTCTTCCCACATACTTCCTACCATCCTGTCAATAAACAAAGAAGTTACATAGTAATATTTTATTAGTTCAATACTTTTTCCCCTGGCGAGAAATCCTTCAGTTATATGCCTGTAGTTTGTAGAGCTGAATGAGAGAAAGGGGCTGAAGAGGTCTCAATTCTTCATATGTAGGCTTTTGCTTACTGTGTAGATTTTCCATGTACGATAAAAAGTAATCAGCTGTATCTGATGTTTCTGAATCTAGAATATTACTGGCTCATTTTCTTCAGAGAGCAAATCTCTAGTTCTTACAGAGATTGGCAATAGGAAGAGGAAAGCGAGGAGGGGGTGGGATCTCTTGGTCACAGAAGGGGCTGTTATACAAACTGGCTTTGATTACTGCCTTTACTGTTTTTTTAGTGTGTCTTAGGCAAACATCTCTGTCCAGCCTGCCTCATTTAGCTTTGATATCTCTTAGATTGATTTTCAGCGTCTGACCTGAAGGAGAATTTAATCTTTACCAAGATTTTTTGAGTAAAATCAGATGTTAAAATGGAACTAATGATCTTGAGTGCAAACAGACATGATAATTTGCCATTTTTCATAGTGTGTGAAAATTCAAACATTGTGTATAATAGACATGTATAGCTGTTAGGTTTGTATCATATTTGTTATATATAAGACTGTTACTAATAATGACATTTACTTCTCTTGAACAGTTTCCTCAACAATTATCCAATGATGAATTTCTAAGTCTTTATTTTGAAGACTTACTAGTTCTGTGATTCTAATCAAGCTACTGTACCTTTCTGTGCTTCAGATTTTTCATTTGTTAAGAGAGAATAATACCGGCCTTGCATAGGATGCTTAGAATCAAATGAGAATATTTGTGAAGTGCCTATTTATTGTATCTGACTCATATGCATGTAAAAAAGTTGATTCTTCTTTCTTCTATTGCATGTGATCCAATTGATCTATTCTCTAGGTCCAGAAATACTTTCTTAGAAGAATATTACTAAAATTGTACAAAATAGCAATCTGTTGT